CAACGTAGCACTGGAGAAGGGAGGGATGGGCTTTTTTCATCCCATAGACCATCTAGAGAGGAAAAAATGTAGGAACAGGGAAGTTTGGAGCTCCTTGGCAACAGTGCAGCCTGCACCTCTGACGCTGGTTGAGTTAAGAAATTCCATGCAATGATTTTCTTAACAACTGRCCCTGTTGGGGCACCAACTTGAGATTCCACAGGTAGCTGAGGTCGGCAGGGCTAGTTTGCCCTGTGTGCCCACCAGCAGCATCAGACAAGATTAGAAATAAAGGACTGGAAAWCAAGAAGCGATAGAGAGGTTTAGTTGTGGTTTTAGGCTCATTTCCTTGCGTTCCTTTCCTGGGGAGGCGACGGATTTCCATGGGTTCCAATTTATCCAGCTTGTTTGAACCCTTTCTGCTCGCATGGCTCAGTGCATGAGGAAAGGTGCATGTGCACCCCAAGCTAGGACTGCATTTTATCAATGCGTAGCCACCTATAGATCCAATATAAATATACTGGTCTATCAATATAATAGATACGCTCGGTTAGTCCATGTCATGGTAGAGACCTCGCAGTAGAGACTGTGCCCCTGGTACCGGGAGGGTGGCTGATCCTGCAGGGCAGTTGAGGCAAAGTCTATGYGGATTTTCCTTCTGTTCCAACTCAGATTAACCAGCAAAATCCCCCTCTCTGACCACTGAAGGGAACAAAAAGGATCCTGGCATCGCYCGGTTAACCATTACCCCTTCCATGGCTGTTTGCAATGCCTGGATTGAGGTCTGCTTGCTGCCGCTTTGCTACAGCTGTGCAAATCACCTGCTGTTAAAATTAAAACACTGAAGACTAGAATTAGGTTGAGAGTGACATCTACTTAATGCAAATGCAAATCACTTCATTTTCGCTGCTTAAGTGATGTCTTGCTCCTCAAAAGATATTTGTGAAGACAAGTGGTAGAAGATGCCACAATTGTCTGGGTCATTATGAAGAGGGGAAAAAAAAAAACCCATTTTGTAATGTAATTTTGTTTAAAACTTCCTGTGTTCAGAGTGTGCAGGGGTGAGTCCTGGAAAAAAAAGAAGGGGGAGGCAAGCAAATTTGGAGGGCACTAAGGAATCCCGCGGTGGGCTTGCCTGCCCGTCACTTCAGGCTGGTGCAAACCCTCCTTCTTCCTGTGCCCTTCTTGCTGCCTGGGGTGGCTGTGAGCGGAGGGGTCCCTGCCTGATGGCATCTGCCTGCCCTGCGGTGGGAGCAGCTCCTGGGTCCAGCTCAGTGGCGCTCAGCCCTTCTGCTCTGGAAGCCCCGGGAGGGCAGAGCGTGGGGAGCGGGTGGAAGAGGGGCCAGGAGAGCAGCAGTCGCGTGGGGGGACACAGGACGGCCAGCAACGCTCCGGTGACCAGCCCCCAGGGCACATGAGTCACGGCAGGAGCTGGCAGCCAGCAAGGAGTCAAGGAGTCCATTCCCGCTAGGAGAGCAGCGATCCGGCTGGCTCAGCACAGCGAGGCTCTCTGCAGAGCGCGCAGCTTGGGAATGGGCAGCGTGAGGGYGAGCCATGAGCGAGGCTGCAAGGAGCCGCGGGGCGGTCCCGGCGTGCCGGGGAGCCCCCGGTCCGTCCGGACGGCCGCTCCGCGGGAGGAAGCGATGACTGCCGCAAATGCCACCCCGTGCCGCTGCGGCCAAGCGCCCGTGCAGCCAGGGCTGCTGCACTGCCAGGAGCAGCCCAAATGGCCTCAGTTTAGTCATTAACCGGACCAGGGTGCTCAGAGAGCAGACGCAGCGTCTTGCTGTCTCAGCTCTCGGAGGCGAGAGCAGCAGAACGTTTTTCAGCCGTTTTTACGCACRCTTCACTGTGCGCAGCGAGGCCTGGAGCGAGCAGAGCATCTCCTGCTCGCTGAGGCTTTGGGCTGCTGGCAAGAGAAAATTGCATTAGGATAATATTAATTGCCTTAGTGTAATATAACAGCTTACTCTAAGCCAGCAGAGTTAAAGCATAAGATTAGGGGAACCGGCAGGTGTTTGCTTAGCTCTCCTCGTGCCCAAGCATGGCATCCAGCACTAGGCAAGRGTGTTTAATGTCATCATTAATGAGGTGGATGATGTGGTGGCCCTCTAGTTAGTGTGAAGGTGACACAGAACTGGGAGGAGTAAACCAGAAGYTGCTGTTCAGAGGGACCTTGACAGTCTAGTGAAATAGGCCAAGAGGAACCTCATGAAGCTCAACGGGGGAAAATGCAAAGCCCTGACACGGGGGAATAAAACTGGGGAAGGTGGGCACCATGTTGGACATGAGCCAACACCATGTCCTTTGGCAAGGACGGCTAATGCCATCCTGGGCAGCGTGAGGAAGAGCGTTGCCAGCAGGTCGAGGACGGTGATCCTGCCCCTCTGCTCAGCCTCCTGATGCCACCCCTGGAGCGACTGCCGAGTATCTTGTGTGAGGAGAGGCCAAGAGAGCTGGGGCTGCTCAGCCTGGAGAAGGCCCTGAGGCATCTTCTCAGTGTGTGTAAACATCTGACAGGGGAGGTGAGGGGGTCAGAGCGGGACTCTACTCAGCGGGGCCCAGTGAATGGGCAAGGGGTGATGGCACCGACCGTAAAACAAGAAATTCCACTGAAATTTAAGAAAACACTTCTTCACAGTGAGGAAGAATGAGGAACAGATTGAGGCATTTTGAGACAGACAGTGTAAAAGCTCTAGGTAAGAAACAGATATGAATGTTATGTTTTCCTACAGCAGATCTTCCCAGATCCAATAACCCAAATATTTTATTGACTTCTTTATTTGACTAGAGTTGTTTTCTCATTTTCTCTCGCTTCTGTGTTTCCCTGTTTGCCTACACATCTGCTCTGAAAAAACACCCCGTGAGCATCATTTCTTCTCATTCCTTGACTCTGTCCCTCAGATGTAAWCTGGGTCTGATCTAGTAACATGAACATTTAATTTAGGAATGCTTTTCCCTGGGCTTGCACGCATCCAGTGTTCACACTGCATCCTGGAGTCTGCCAGCTCTGTGCTGCTCTCACTGGTTTCTTTTAGCTGCTCCTTCTGAATTAAAATCTCTGCTTCTGGAAAACTCAAAAAAGRTTTTTTTTTTTWAATCAAAATATTCTCTCCTATTGTTCAGAATTACTGAATTTAGCTGAATTTTGCTGACCAAAGCAAAGAGGTGGGATGCTCTTCCTGCAGAATGATGTCACACGGGGTCCGTCCCTGCGTGTTTGTATCCGACTGTTTCCTGCTCTTCCCATTCTCTTGGCCCAAAGGTCTCGCAGGCTGTTCCTGAAGCGACACCCTTGCGGCAACCTGCTCCTGCCCAGACACGGCCTCTCCGAGCAAGCCCCTAAGAAAATCAGTAGAAAGAAGGGAAAAGTACCTGCAGTTTTGGGCACACATGAGGTATCCCATTTTTTTTTGCTTGCTTTAGGCCGCAGTCCTACTAAGTGCTGAAGAGGCTGCACCAAAGTCCATCTGTGCTATTCACTAGTGAGGGGTTTTTCAGGCAGAATGGCATTTAGCTGCTGCAAGTTTAGCTGACAACTTCTACCTTTCTTTTTTTTTTCCTACATGCTTCACAGTAGACACAATATTAAGTTATTTTGTGGGTCTTTTCAATCCGTTTGATATTTTATGAAGAAAGACACACAGCCAAGTCTCAACAAGYGTCTCAAAAAGACAAATGCAAAGTTTCACGGGCCATGCGAGTACTTATGCTTTTCTTCTTAATTTGTTGCTCTGATGACCTGGACTCACGCACGTCCGGGYTGATGTCTTTGCTTGCTCCATTTCGTTAACACTGCAAGCCAGTCGTGYGTTATTTTTGTAGCAGGGCCGTTTTGCTCTCACCGCACTTTGTGGYGGTGAACGGGTCGCACTGAAATGTTGTTGCTGTCCCAGCATCCGCCTGCCGGTTCAGCACCCGCCGGAGCTCTGCCTCCACAAGAGGGAATTTCCCCTTGCCCTTAGGCTTTGCTCTCAAAGCGATCTCCATGGATGCGTTTCTTTTTCCTTTTTCCTGTTATTTTAGTGAGCTGTTAGTATTCTTCAGCTGCCACTGAAAAGATGGTGTCAGTCACCTCGGTCACCAACTTTTTTCCTCTTYGTGCCAAAAATCGGGTCACTACATCATGTCCCTGAGCAAATCTTTGCAGGTGACAAAGCCAAGAGTTTCCAGCAAAGTGTGGGATAAGCAGGTACAGGATAGAGAAAAACAGGGGCAGGGTGGGGGAAGTGAATGATTAACGGTCACCTCCTGGCCCCACTATGGGCCTCCTGGCCACCCTGCCAGGATCAGTCCCTCCAAAACAAAACAAGTCTTGGCGGGGAAAAATGGACATACAGGAACAGAGCAGTCCCGGGGCTGTGGCAGGTTCAGCCTCCCGTGCCGGGGCCCTTTTGGTGATGCAGAGACCTGGTGCAAGGAACAGCAAGCGCCGAGCCCGGCTGCCAGAGCCCTCTGCCAGGCTGACCCGTGCCGGCCTTGGGAAGGGTTTTGTCCTGGAGAGTCCAGCTGTAAAGCGTCCAACTACACAGCCAAAAAGGGCACCAGTGCAGAGGTCCAGGAGGTCCTGGCTGTTTCTCTCCGCTTTGTTCAACGCTTGTCCCAGTTTCTTGCCCGATAATCCCGGTGCTGCTGCCTCCCCGGGGGGATAGCGTTACAATTCTGGCTCCTCGCAGAACATCATGTAATGCCCTCTGCTGAAAGGCCACTTCCATTGCAGGCTSTAACCTGGAATACAAGCTGCTTTTCCCCTTGCCCTCTCCAGGGAGATGCCGCATCCCTTGTGGGCTGGCTCTGCCCGCCCGTGGTCCAGCAAGCGGCTCCCCAGCGCATCCAGCAGCTCCGAGAGGCCGGGGAACCACCAGCCCCAAGCCTCCAGCGAGGACTTTTCCAAGGGTTTTGCCCGGGCGGTGGCAACTTCTTGCACTGCAAGTCCCATAAAGGGAGCACTGAACAACAAGGGATTCGGCTCGGGGGGCTGGGGCAAGGTTTTACCTCCCTGGCCGAGCCCGTGCAGGGTTTGGCAATGCCCAAGTCCCACGTTGGAGCTCTCCCAGGCCCGTGTTACAACAYGGCAGGTGCGAGGTTTGCGCTGGGCCAGGAGAACCCAGCCTTTCTGTGTCGCTGACCTCCTGTCCTGGCCAAGGGGCGAGCACGGGGACCTTCACCCCCGGCCGGGAGCAGTGCAAGGGCAGTGGCAGAGCAGAGTTCGACCGCCSCCTGCGCGCTGCTCAGTCCTGGTTTTTCCTGTGCTCTGAGAAGCCGTCCCCGTGGCCACTGCTCCATGGTGACGGATGAGGATGGATGCTGGGACAGCTGGGATCGTCGTCACGATTTTCCTCTTCTCCGTCTTGTGTTTCCTGGTCTGGAAAAATGASAGGAAGAGGAGCCAGCTCCCTCCTGGACCGACCCCATGGTCCATCCTGGGCAACCTATGGCAAAAAGATGTCCTGCCCCTTTACTTGTCCCACRAGAAGGTAAGAAGGCAGCTCGCAGTGTGGTGGCAGCTCCCTGCCCCTATRGGGCTGCAGGGAAGGGAGCAGCAATTTGCTACACCAGAATAAGAGGTCAGCCTCACAGGTCACTCTTTGTCCCCTTTCTTTCCTTCCCTCCTTTCTTGCTTTATCAAAATATCCTAAATCCGTGCTACTTGGACCACAATCAACACTGTTATTTAAGTCTTTCTTGTGCTTTAACAGGACCCACGGAAGTGATACTAATCCCGTTCTGGTTGAGCAGAGCRTTTAACCATCTGCTGCCTTCCAGAGTCCCTTCCCAGCAAGATCAGATCAGCTTTAAAATCCATGGAGTGTCAGCGGGAGCCCCGTCCTGCCGGGGCACGGCTGGGGTGGTGGGAGGGGACGAGCACCAGGAGATTTTCTCTCTGGACCCTCAGTTTTCCCCAGGGTGCAAATCCCGTTCTGCTCTTGGAAGCCAGACTCCCATCCCTTTCACCTCAGCTTTGTGGTGGGAGGCACYCAAGGAGCAGGGGGCAACATCTCAGCACCTGCTTCAGCGCCGCTTTCCCACCAGCTCAGGGAGAAGTACGGCCCCGTGTTCACCATCTGGCTGGGACTGAAGCCCGCGGTGGTGCTCTGCGGGTACGAGGTGGTGAAGGATGCTCTGCTGGGTCATGCRGAGGAGTTCGGAGGGAGACCTGAAATACCCCTTCAGGTCCAGGTATCAAAAGATTACGGTAGGTGCTTGTTTTCTTCTTTATTACTCTTTGGATGAGCACAAAGTACCTGACTGCAGCTGTGCAGTGCAGGAGTCAATCTCTAGGGCGGGACTCGGTGCCCAAATTGTCAAACACATTTTGTACTCTGCAAGTCCCTCAATCTATTGCACCTCTTATCTGACAACAATATTAATTCCTGTTAGATAAATGCTACGGATGCAGACTTCTGTCTTTGTTCTTGTTTTCCTTTGGGATGCTCATCCTTCAAGGATGCTGTGCACACACCAGGGTCATCCTCTGGCTTACTGCCCTACGGTTCCTCAGTTGGTTTTTGCACCAGAGGCCCTATTTCTCATGGAGGAGCTGCGTGTGTTGGCAAATGAGCGGTTTCCATTGCTTCCTCCCAGGGTTTGTCTCCACCAAAGAGAAGAAGTGGCGGGAGCTGCGCAGGTTCACGCTCAGCACCCTGCGGGACTTTGGGATGGGGAAGAACACCATGTCGCAGCGCGTGCAGCAGGAGGCCCAGCATCTYGTGGAGCTGCTGGCAAGCTTCAAAGGTGATGTTCTGCCCTGCCTGCTGCTGGAGCAGATGGAGGACACAGGACAGCCCGGTGCAGCAACTCTGGTCCCCAGAGCTGTTTGCAGAATGATCCTTGCTGAGAGAGGACCTAGACTGTCCCACCSTACCCGGAGAGGGCAGTGAGGATGTCAGCACAGTCACGGGGTGGGAACTTTCCTCCACGGATCTGTGCACGCGATGGGTGGCCACTGAGGAGCATTTCATGCCCAAAGAGCAGAAACTTCCAGGGCTGGGAATCCACAAACAAGGAGTGTGCAAACAAGGACATGACTTCTGGTCATTGCACAGAAGTACCGGCCTCCCAGTTACTCCAGGTTGCAAGTAGAGTGCCCAAAGCACCTGGAGATCCCTCTGCCTCCCTCAGTCCCAAATACTGAGAAGAGATTTGGCAGCAGGGAAATATATCTAGGTGTCTGTAACTCATACTGCCTCTCTGCTTCATCTGTTAGATGTCAGGTTCGGGTAGGGCTCGTAGCTAAGAGAAAGGATAGTTGTTCAAAAGGTAAGGAAGAATATTTTCTGAGCATGATGCAAATAAATAACTGTCTTTTATTTTTTTGGGGGGGCTTCTTTCATCCTGCAGGTGAGGCCTTTGAGCCCATGATAAATTTCAGACATGCAGTTGCTAACGTGATTTGCTCCGTTGTCTTCGGGAGCCGCTACAGCTACAGCGATACAGCCTTCCTGGAGCTCCTGGCCATGATTGCAAATTACATCAGTTTTTTCCTCTCCCCTCTTGCGATGGTAGGTGCCCTTGCTGTGCTCGGGGCCCGGGTTCCTGACACATTCGGGCAGTCTGGAGACGCTCCTTGGCTTGGGCCTGGATGTCTGGCTTTGCCTGTGACAGCATTTCTTTGCCAGTGTCACTGGTGGCAGTTAAGCATATGGCCACATTAGGTGTGTGCTTCAGTTCTGTCCCAAATGAGGTGGAGGAAAATGTTCTCCATGGCTCTCATCCAACACCTGGGCGGCTTCTTTTGGGCAAGCCCCAAAAATGCCCACAATGTACATTTTTAAAGTTGTCCTTGGAAATATGTCTCACTGCACCTCACGCTATATTCCTGGGAGTTGTCTCACCAGGCGCTAGTGCTTGAAACCACACGTAGGACAAGGCAGGAAAGAGCAAGGGCGGCCTTGCAGGGGAACTCTGTGCAGGCCCCCGAGCCGCCCCGTCGCTCTCCTGTCCGCAGGTGTACAACACCTTCCCCAACATCATGCACCACCTCCCCGGGCCTCACCACAAAGCCTTGGCCGAATGCGAGAAGCTCAAGGACTACATCCAGGAAAGAGTGGAGCGCCACAAGCAGAGCCTGGATCCCAGCTCTCCCCGGGACTACATCGACTGCTTCCTCATAAAGGCGGAAAAGGTAGAGGTGGTGCAAAGGGTCTTCTCTTCTGCCCTGAAAGCAGTCTTAATTCCCAGAGGGTAGGGCCTAYGCGCTAGCCCCATCGCCAAGAGTGAGCCTCATGAGGAGGGTGTTGAGGGACACCTCCATACATCAGGGAAGGGCAGCACTCCCTTGGGATTTGCCATGGGGAATAAGCGCTGCTCTCGAGACCTGTCTGCAGCCTGAGGAACCGCGTGGCTTGTACTGCATTTCCTCCCTGTCGCACACCTGCAGGAGAAGAGCAGCCTGGAGAGCAGCATGTACAGCAATGAAGACCTGGTCATGTCAGTATTCAATCTCTTTGGTGCTGGCACGGTAACCACTAGCAATGCCCTGGTCTTCTTCCTCCTGGTGCTGACTAAACATCCCCATATTCAAGGTAAGGACACTTAAATGCCGCTGTTTCTTTTGCCTTAGTAAGTCACAATGGAGCGAAGGGGCAGACTTGAGAGTGCCGTACCTGGAGGTGCCCATCTGGGAGGTTTTGCTGTGAGATCACAATCAGCCTCAGCRGATTGCTCAAGAGAGAAGGTCCATTAAACAGAAATACGGATGGGCTGCRCATCTCCCTCTGCCCACAACCCTTYCCCTGTTCCTACCCTTACCCCGCCGACGCGCATGGTCCTGGATGGGCACATGAGCGATGCTCTTGGCAAAGCCTTGAGCACCTGCATGAGCTGGGGAGCTGTGCAGGCAGGCTCCCTGCTTTGGGCCTCTATAAGGGGTTACACAGGGCTCCTCACTCTCTGCTAGGCCAYCCTTTGACTCTACAATAGGTGTAGAGGCCAGTGAGAAATCACTGGAGGCCCTTGGGCACAAAACGCTACAGRCCTGAACCTGAGTTTTTCACAGCTAAGGTCCAGAAGGAGATCGACACCGTGGTGGGAGCGGATCGTGCTCCCAGCACGGAGGACAGGCTGAGGATGCCCTACACTAACGCCGTGATCCACGAGCTGCAGCGCTTCCAGAAGTCCCGAATCGAGAACTTCCCTCGCATGACAACRCAGGACGTCAAGTTCTGGGGCCACAACATCCCCAAGGTGGCCGAGCAGCACCGGGCCCTGGCATTTCTGAGGGGAGGAGGGGCAGAAAAACCTTGAGCGAGATTCGCGTTGACCCCTGGACTGTTTGCTCCCCGTGAAGGCCACTGGTCTTTCCCAATCCTCGGTGAGGCGAGGTGGCAGTAACCTCCTAGCGGAGGAGGTCAGCGGAGCCCCAGCTGGTCCTCCCGCACATCCCTGCCTCCTGCCTGTGCCCGCTTCCCGCCGCCAGCTCCGCCAGAGCCAGCACCCGCCGTGCGGGGCTGCGGGCGAGCCGGGGCCCGGGAGCACGTCCAAGCGCAGCCCTCACCCCACTGCAGATTGGGAGAGTTTCTCCATTTCGGAGGGAAACCCTGACCACACAGAGACGAGGCCGGCACTGCAGGCCAGGGCCGAGCCCGCGCTGCTCTGCCCAGCCACGCCGCGTGCTCCGACACTCACGTTCCTTCTTGCTTTTCCGCTCTCGCCCCTCTCTTGCAGGACACAGCTGKTATTCCAATATTTTCTTCGGTGCATAGAGATCCAGAGCAGTGGGAGAACCCCCAAAACTTTGACCCACGCCACTTCTTGGATGAGAAAGGCGAATTCAGGAAGCGCGAAGCCTTCATGGCTTTCTCTGCAGGTACYGGCCCAGCCCCACACACAGACTTTGCTGGGATGCTGCCTGGGGGGTCCAAATCCAGCCCAGGAAAAGCCAGGTTGAAGATGCTGCTGACCTCAGTTGGCAGCAAAGCTGTTCCTTTCATGTGGGCTCCTTTCCCACCTCCATCCCTCTGTATGCGTGTGCTTTTCCCCAGTATGAAGCGATTCCTTCAAGGGCTGGATTAAGTCTTKTCTTTTTTTCGCCTGTGCCTCCCAGGAAAGCGGATGTGCCCAGGAGAGGCGCTGGCCAGGATGGAGCTCTTCCTCTTCCTCACTACGCTGCTGCAAAACTTCACCTTTGAGCTCGACATCGAGTCTGAGGAGAGGGATATTTTTGCCCTGTGGGTGGAGATAGAGAGACAGGCAATACCAGGCAAATTCCTCGCCATACGGCGGCGGGCATGTTCTTAAGCAGAAAGCAAAGGGCGGGAGGAGGTGGCCTCCCCGCGCGCTCAATCGTCCAGCAAGCAACGAGCTGTGCTAATTAGATCTGTGCAGAAGTCCCAAAGAAGGAGGGCTGTTGTGGGCCAGGCCTGCGCTCGGAGGAAGGCTGTTTGGCTCAGGACACCTCCATGGGTATCCTGGTTCCCAATCTTAGTTGTCCCGCGTCCCCGTCACCCGAGGAAGACGGTGCTGGTTTTTCTCCCTGGTTGCCCTTGGCTCTGGCCTGACGCCGAGCTCCTTGAAGGGCTGTTGCTTTGACTGCCCATGTGTGGCAATACCTCATTTCGGTCCGAGATTGCGAGTGCTTCTGTAATAAAAACAGCCACCACTACTCRATACTCGCTAAGCTGCTCTGTTGGTTTCCATCAAGGGCAAAGCCACGTGTCCCTTCCACCATCTGAGACTCCCTGAAGGCCACAGCAAGGSGGGGTTCAATAGGGCAAAGAAATACCCACGGTATCTCCTGTTGCAAAGGCAGGAGAGACAGGGTGTGAAGAGGCCACTGCATCCAAGATAATGAGCAGGAGACACCTATCTTGTCCACACTCAGGGCTGGATCCCTGCTCTTGGTAGCACCAGCTTTACACCATGGGTCACACTTACCCTGCTGCTCCCACCCCACTGCACCATCACCCTAACCTGGCACCTGCAATATTGTCTCTTGCAGTATTGTCCCCAGACAGGGGACAGGAGACCCAGGCTCTGTCCATTCCATTATCATTTTATTTTATTTTGTTTTGTTTTATTTATTTATTTGCTGTATTGTGTCGTCCTGGTAGACTGAGGTAGGAAAACATTCAATTTACTTTATCTGGTTTTCACCTGTGACCTCAATCTCCAAAGACATCTTGCTTATCTCTGGAATTTACTGCTTATTCCAAAACTTCAACCYGCAGCCCTATGGTTGCAGAATGGTTTCCTCAGGTGGGCGCCARGGACTTAGCAGCAGCCAAGTGGTCTGAGCTGGGGAAGGAGCCCCGGTTGCCCCTAAAAGGGCTGCGTTAAAGCAGGGAGGAGCTGGAGCTGCAGGGAGGTGTGTTGGGGCCTGGAGCAGCTGCCTTGCCGGTCCATGGCTGTGGCCTTGGCTTCTGTGCTGCCTTTGGTGTTGCTCCAGCAAACACGCTCAGCGCCAGGTCTGCGATGTGGGCACAGGAGCCACTTGTAAAATAAGCCTGGTGTAAAACACCTGGCAGGGAAGAGCGTCCTGGTGCGGCAGCCCTCGTGCTCCCCTGGGCGGAGGAGCCCGGCTTGGTGCTGAGGATGTTGTCCCTGCTGGGCAGGGGGTGCAGAGGGTGGTGTGGTGACCTCGGCACTGGTTTTGGTGACTCTGCCTCGCTGGGCTCACTGCACCTCCCTGCCTGGGAGTCTCCAGCAGGGAATCTGCCCTGGGCAGAGGTGGCTGCTCCTCCTGGAGCCTCCTGAGGCCAAAAGGACTGGGACAAGGTGCTGCCCGGTGGCACTGGAGCTCATCCTACCCCAGAGAGCAGTGTTGGGGCTTGGGGTGCTGCCTCTTTGGCGTTTGCGGTGCCATCCCAAGGTGATGGAGCCCAGCTGGGGGCTCTGGATGGTACCTGGATGCTGAAAGTTGCTCCCCATGGGCTCTTGCTGCCCGAGTGGGGAACATGCYGAGCAGAGGCTCTCTGCCTGCCCACGTGCATCTCCTGCAGTGCCCAGGATGTGCGTGAGCCCCCCCAGGGGCCGGGCACCAGGACAGGGGATGTTCCCCATCCCCTCCAAGGGTGCCGCGGCGCCCGGCAGCGCCCGCTGCTCTCGCTCRTGGGGAGCAGGGCGGCCCTGGTGGGCCGTGGGTGCTCGCACGCGTCGCTGCTCCTCCTCGCGTGCCCCCTTGCAGTTCAAAACCCTCCCATGTCRGGGCTTGGTCCTAAATCTGCATGAAATCCACGCTCCCGCTGGGCTAAATCCTGCTTCTGCTTGATTTAAGGTGCTGCTTTTCCCCTTGGCCGTGTCCCCTCCGTGAGATGGGAGGAGGTTGATGCCAACTGTGGCACCGCTCGCTGTATCTGCTCCAGCGGGAAAAGCGCCCGAGCTGTTAGAGCCACGTGCAGCTGCCGCGGTGACCGCAGGACCCGGAGCTAGGACCTCTTCTTGGTGACCTGCAAGAGCTGGACATGCACCAAAAAGAGCAGAGCTGCCCCAAGATTTGCAGCAGGGCGAAGCCGGGGCTTGTCTGAGGTGCTTCTGGTCCTCAGGCAACCTGCAGCTTCCCAGGGGACGTCCCCTCCTTGGGCTTTGTCCCACATTCGGCAGCCTTTACATGCTCTGAGGTGACTTTAAGACATGGTAGGGAGGCCAGTGCTGTTTCCTAGAAACAACCTAGAACAGCATTTTTTTTGTTCTTAGGGAGTAAAATGGGTCACTGCAGGAGGGACTGGGATCTCTGCATGGGGAGTGTCAAGCTCTGATTGAATTAGATAARGAAAAGACCCCCCGTCACTGTCCCAGCGCTGGTGAAGTGCAGCCGTRGTGCAGGCGGCTGCCGATGCCCTCCCAGACCCAGGTAGGGACCCGCCGAAGCCCCCGGGTCTCAGCGCTGTCCCGGGCGGGCCRGGCTCCCTGCTCTCCTGTCCGCTAAGCCGGGCTCAGCTGCAAAGAAGCTGCTGTCGTCCCTTCCCGGGGCAGCCTTTCTAAGACCCCACGAGTCCTGCTACCTTCTCCCAGAAAACTGATGAGTCACCTTGTTTTTCTGGGGCCTATTAAATCATTTAATGAGGCTGTTTTTCAGCCAGGGGTAGGCTGGGATTTGGGAGGAAGGCTGAAAACAGGGTTTTGCCAGCTGAACCTGACTTGGGTACTTTGCCCAATCTGTTGTCGGACAAAGCCTGAATCAACACTGCACAATTCTCATCTGTCTCTAGGGCTTTGCGTATAAAAGCAAACATTTTGGTGTCCAAAGGCTGAGTGTACTCCCACTTTCTGGAGGCTTTTTACATCCATTTACTTTATTTGCTGGTTATCTTCTGCTCCAGGGCAGCTGCTCCGCTTGGCTGCCAGGGGCTCAGAGCAGCCTCATCTTCCTCCCTGCCCCTTTCCCATGGCCTTTTCTTCTCTCACCATGGGTGAACTTGATGACTGGACACTTCTTCCCTCCCCTCCTTTCCCCTCCCTCCCCCCCCACTTTATGATTTTTTAAGAAGAAGCAGTCAGTCTAAAATAAAACTCTAGGAACAACTCCCCAGAGCAAGATGTTTCAAAAACCATCATATTAATAATAATGGAAATGTTTATCGATTGACTCTGCTCTCCTGGGCAAAGTCGCCGCGGGAAGGGTAAAAGCGGTCCGGCCGCCGCGCGGCGATAATGCAGGCGCGGTATTAGAGGCAATACGGCGGCGCAGCGCGGCGGAGGTTTACGGTAGCGGGTGTCTCCTAGGCGCCGCGACGCCGCCGCGAGGGGCGGGGCCTGCGCGCGCTCCCGCCGCGTCCCCGCGCGCTCCCGCGGCTCGCTGCGCCGGAGAGGCCTCCATCCCCGCGTGCCTCCATCCCGCGTGGAGCCGAGCCCCTGGACCTGCAGCCTCCATCCCGCGTGG